GGAACAGCATTCCTACTCTGGGAAAACACACTGACAGGAACAGCATTCCTACTCTGGGAAAACACACTGACAGGAACAGCATTCCTACTCTGGGAAAACACACTGACAGGAACAGCATTCCTACTCTGGGAAAACACACTGACAGGAACAGCATTCCTACTCTGGGAAAACACACTGACAGGAACAGCATTCCTACTCGTACAATTGGACAATCCCAGTTTTCCTCTGAGCTGTTAAGGCAAAATGACTCCTAATAGCGCGACAGGCAGAACGGGCAGACCTCTGGGGCTGTGCATTACCCTCACGTTCCCAGTGCCTGTTCCTCACCCACCCACCCACCCAGCCCTGGGCATTCCCTGCACGCCAGCACCTCTGGGCTCAGCACTGGGACACCACCAACCACAGGAAAATGCCAAGGAAGGGGTGCAGGAGCCCAAAGCAGTGAGGAGAGAACATACCTGGGGAACTAATGCACACAGAGTCTCATCCAACACTGCATTCCCTGCTCCTATCACAAGATGTGTTGCAGCTGCTCTGGAACACATGACTTAATGTACTAAGGAATTGCAGAAAGCAGGAGGGGGGGGGAAGGAAAAGAGCTGGGAGTTAACTTGCAAGAGAATCAGACTCTTCTGAAAGATTAAAACATTCCAGGATCCAGTCTTAAAAACCTCCTACAATTAAATTTCTACAGTCAGCTGCCTTTCTAAGGGCACACGTATGCAAAAAAAGCAAAGCAAACCCAAAAAGCAGGTGGCAAAGCCAATTGGCATTACCAGATAAAAGCCAAATATATCCAGTGGCAAAAATCTTGAACATGATACACAATTCCACCTCAGCAGGAGCTCAGCACAACTGGAAAATGTTCATGGGTAATCAAAAGAATGATTAAAGATACAGAGAGGTTCCTTTATATAGGAGCAACTAAGACAACTAAGCTAGAAGGAAGCAAAACAGAGCAGACATATAAGTTTGAAAATCATGACTCGCATGGAATGGAGGAATATGATTTGATGTTTGCTGTGTCATACAAGAACTAGGATTTATCCAAAGAAACTAGATGGTGGTAAGTTCAGAACAAACAGTTGGTAACAGCATATAATTAAATTGCTGAAAGGGTTACCAGATGAAGCTGTGGGTGATAGACGTTTACATGCCTACAGAAAGCGACTGGATAAATTCCTGTAAGACAAACACAGCAAGAGGAACGAAATATGGTAGCACTGTCTCTGTGGTGCCCTGTGACTCCTCACTTGGGGCTCCCCATGAGGTTACTCCAAGAGGGAAGTCCCCATTCCCCAGCTGCACAGAGCCGGGAGGGCAGGATGAGGAGCTGGGAGTGCTGCCTGTTCAGTGCTCTCTTGTCCCTCTGTGCCAGCAGCCACCACCAGCAAGAGGGTCCAGCTGGCCATGTCCTGCTGGACACCCCCCACGGGTGTGACCGCACACCAGGGATGGCAGTAAAGTTGACTTCTACCATCGGACTATGAAACAGGTTGCAGACACAACAGACACGACTGCTTGCAACTGCAGCTCACCACCAATAACCCTTTTACTTGCCTTAACACAAGCAAGCCTTAAGGACAAAAATTACTATCCTAATTCATTTTACTTCTGTAATTTTACTGTATAAACTTTTAAAAACAAAAGCAACTACACCATTTCTAGGCTTCTTGTAAAAACTTACAGGTAACAACTACTAACTTAATGTACTAGCAAATTAGTACTCTGACCAACAATTTAACTAATTCAAGTGGACACTAAGATTGGGGAGGAACAATCCTTTTCTCACACTCAATCAGGTGCTCCATTGGTTACATAATTTCCTGCAGAATATCCTGCGTGAGCAACACTGAAGATCTTTTTGCCTGCTCTTGCCCAAACCACAGTGTGGCACTGGTCCCAGTACAGAGCCTGGACTGGCCCGTTCCCATCCCTATGTTGCCCCCTCTGCACACTGCCTGGCCACTCCAATCATGCAGACACACTCTGCACTGTACTCCAGTTATGCTGTACAAGGTTTCTGACTTGAAAATGCTACAGACATGGTTAGGGAAAACAGGCTACAGCTGATCACCAGAACAAAACACACCTTCAGGTTTAACAGCTTCACACTTCCCCAGGGTACACAGGCCAACTTCCTACCAGCCAGGCAGGCACTTTAACAGGCTGGCTGGTAAACTACCTGCTACTTCAGTAATTTTCCTCTGTGACATGTTATAAAAGCAGCTATGCAAACAAACAAAGGGAAAAAAAGCGAAACTGTTACAGAGGCCAACTCTTCAACTAACTCTGAAGCAACAGACTACAGAGCCACACTGGGAAAACAGAACTGCAGAAAGAAAAAGAAAACATCTCTATAACTCCATCTCAAACCTAGATCATGTATTTTGAAATGAAATAATACCAAATTCTATAAAATTACTTGCTTTTCCCTACTGCAGTATCAGTGTTGCCACTCACAACCAAGGCTTCATTTGCTTTAAATATTTGTTGCTTTTCCCAACATACCACCCTCCTCAGGGCATATACTTCCATGGGAATATGAGCTTTTGCTCCAAATTCTGAAGAGATGCATCTATTCCTCTGGAGCCCAGAAGAAACTTTAAAAACAAATTCTACAGGTTTAAAGTTAATTCCAGTAAATATTCTTTTTTTTTTTTTTCCTAAAAACCTCCTCATTATGTTACTGGACATACTTCCTAGCCTGGAACTCCCTCTCCTAATCTCCACTGCACAGAAATACAAGTTAGACAGCAGGGTATTCAGCTATTTTGGAATTTCAGTTTTTAGTAAGCAAGCCACTCCCTCAAAGTGACTATATTTTAGGAATCAAAAGCTCAATACAACCACTTGCAGTTTCTGAAGAATACTAAAGCCAGTGACTGCTTGTGCTAACGTAATTTAATTCTCCAAAAGAACTCATTAAAAACTCCACCACTTGAAGCATAACAAACATTCAGCCACTCAGGCTTACCTCTGTCCCTGAGAGCAAAAGCAATTTCACACAGCTATCAAGGATAGGTTATTAGGAATGCCATACTCAAACTGTACTTGCAAGGAAGTGCAAGCCAGCCTTGATATAATTAAATTAATTGGAATTTGGCCAGAAACTCGGGTTATGACAAATCCAAAAGCCAGTCTATCCAACAGTACAATGTGTACTTGTTTATACACTTTTCTACTGCACCATCTGATGACAGGAACGAAAAAAAAAATGTGTTTAGGCCAGTGCTTAGCTTTAAACACAAAGAGTTTCATTTAAGTAATTTAAAATAAGTCATTTCTAAACTCCCCTCCTCCACTCTCATACAGAGTAGTTAAAGGATTTTGTCAGAGCTACTCTGTGGCTGTAAGAGCAGTGACTTCTATTATGAAATAATTCAAAGTAACACCTTCCAGTGATATGGAGGTGGAAATTTTAGGTCATATTGTAGCTTCTATACAACTTTGGGCAACTTACTACAAACGTCCCAAAAGCCATTAAATGCTAATATCAGAGACAGTGCACACAAGCAAAATGATGCAAACAGGGAATAAATATAAGCCAGTTGAGAAAAACAAGTTCAGCCAGCACCACTTTAACTGTACTTGGGAGTTCACAAATAAAGAACGAATCACACCGCAAAAGTTACTGCACAAAGTCAGTTTCTGTAACTGCTCGTGGCCAGGGCCCACAGCAAAAGCAAGATGTGCTGCAGTTTGAGAAAAGCAGCCTCGTCCTGCCTTGCATTTGCTGTGGAATGTCTCAGAGAGGAACATGCAGTCACTTCCTTGTGAGTCAAAGGCCTTGGATGAGTATCAACTGCAACATAACCAATGAGATGCCAAGTGCTAAGCAGAAGTTTTGCAAGTATAAAAACATAACTGTATTTCAAACACCGAGCAATCACAGTAATGTATTTTAAAGTATTTATGCCTCAAGCAAAATCTGTATTATTTTGTTTCAAGAAGAGTCAGTTGTTATTTACTCTTTCAGTTGAACCTCTCCCACAATATTTCAGTCCCTTAAGCTTAAGGTACCTCACTGCACCATATCACATACAAATCAGTACTGCTTAATTAGCATTAGTACTGCTTAGTCCCATATAAAGAAGTGACAGAAAGAATTTTTAAGAGTAAGCTGTTTACTCCTACATCAATGTGTGTGCAAATTCACATTTTTTAACACACAATATGAATAAAAAAAATGCAGTATAGCATTGTTTTAAACTCAAAATTACCATTAAAAACCACAAGCCAAATTTATTACTGTGAAGTACAGTCTGCAATGAAAGTTATCTCGAGAAAAGTAGATTGTTCCTTTGATACCTGACAAAAGGCTTTTAGAAATCCTCATTGATCAAACCATCATTTACCAAAGATTATTTCTTATTTAAAATATGGAAGTCATTAATTTTTATAAATATATAACGATGAATAATAATAATAAAAACATTGCTTTTCTCACCCACACACTAAAAAGACTATTCTGTAGAGGTCTGAAAACACAAATTCCAAAATTACCAAACAGCTGCATATTCAAAAAGAGAACGAATAAAGATGACATTAAAAGTTTTCCAGTAGAGAAGTCAATCATACCTACCTACCAGAACCAGAAATTCTCTTACTATTTTCCTTTAAAATAAAGGAAGGCTCCAGCCCAGGCTGTGGTACTGGGCTCTGCACACAAGTACATGTCTGATTATCTGACAAAAATGTAGTTATTAGTAGTCTTCCAAAAGGTGTCAAGAATGTCGAAAAACTTACAGTGGTTTAATTTCCAATGCTCACAGTGAAACCAAGACATTATTCTACACGTACTAAAGCATCACACGGGCAAAATTGCCTATCCATGTATGTAGTGTTTCGGGCAGGCTAGAATAACTTTCTACAGACACAAATATCATCACCTTTTTCTACCCAGAAATTACATTCCCTCAAGGAGCAATGCCAAGACGAAAACATACCAAAATCAACACCAACAAAGGTTATTTGTCAAATCCCTGATTTACGCCTACCTGGCAAAAGCACTGGTTCCAGCTTTTTAATCCTTGGTTCTGACGCTATGTTCTCTTCAGCCTGGAGAACAAAAAAAAAAGAACACGAGAATTTACTCGAGAATCAGAAACTCCGCCGTCACACACACACCGCAGGTCCGACCTACTCGCGCGAAAAGTTTCTTTCTTTAAACATAAATATGCGTGTGTCAAGTGCAGAGGACGATGACATGAGCCTTCCCTCTGCGGTCCCACGGGCCAGACAACCACCCCGGGCCGACTCGGGGCTGTGCCCGGCTCGGGGCTGTGCCCGGCCCGGGGCAGGTCGATAATGGCAGCAAAACGCGGTTACCTGAGGCAGAAGGTACGACTTGAAGGTAGGTTTGGGCGGCTTGAGGGAGAACATGGTGTCCGCCGGCGGGCGGGCCGGGCCGGGCCCCGCAGCTGGTGCCGACCCGCCGGCTCAGGCCCGGCGCCCGCTCGGGCTGCGCTCCCGTCACACGGCGGGGGCGGCCCCGGCGCCTTCCCTCCTTCCCCTGCTTCCCCTCCTTCCCCCAGGGAGGAGCCAGCGGGATGGGCAGGCCCAGGGCAGGCCCAGGGCAGCCCCGGCACCGGCTCAGCGCGGCCCCGGCCCGGCCTTCCCCGCTGACGGCCGGCACGGGCCTGTGCGGGCGCGGGGCGGGTCCCACAGATCGCCGGGATCTGGGGCATAGCGGGGCGTGCGGGGTTTGTTGCCGCCCGGGGCTGTCGCGGGGCAGCGGGGAAAATCCAGCTCCGGCACGGGGCGGGGAAAGAGGGTGAGGCCCTGGCGCAGGGAGGCTGTGGGTGCCCCAGCCTGGAGTGAGCAAGGCCAGGCTGGATAAGGCCCTGAGCAGCCTGGTTTAGTAGGAGGTGTAGGGGGCTGGGACTAGGTGATCTTTAAGATCCTTTCCAGCCCCTCAGCGTTCTGTGAATCAGCTACTGCTGCAGAGCTGTTCCACTGCTGCCCTTGGCACAGGGAGTACAGGGGTGGGCGTGGTGGGGGGTGATGCCCAGGCACCCTCCTGCTCCATGCTGCCATCCTGCTGATGTCCAACGGCCCTTCAAGCTTTCCAGGCACTCCTGGATTGCCCACCTGAGCTTTTCCAGAATGTGGAAATAATGTGGTCATCCACGTGAACTGCCTAAATCCATCACTGCCATCTCTTTGATAAGGAGGAATCTGAGTGACTGCTCACGTGTTCTTAGTGGCCCATGGCACCCGTAAGGGTCCGTACTGCAGGTGTTTGTGTGAGCATTGACTGCAGGGGGCTTGGCCTGCACAGTGGAAATACCTCCTACAAGGAGCAACAGGTTGGATGGTAATGTGGTTTAATAGAGATCCTTAGACTGAGACTGAGACACAGTTCATCAGCTGTGAGATCTAAGGAAGGGGGAAGAGTCTGGGTTCTAATATCACTGACATAAAGACACCAAAGAACTAGAAGGCTCCAGAAAAACGGACACACTTTTAGACACAAGATGACACATGCAGCACCCAATGTCAGCTGCAGGGTCAAGGTCTTCCCTCATTGATAGAAAGCACATTGCATTGCATTATAGCCCCTGGGATTTTTGGTGAAATCAGAGGGTGGGCATTCAATGAAAGAACAGGCTTTAGGGCACAATCTTGATTTCACAACGTAGGTGAGATGCCCCACTGATGCCAGCAGGAAGGTTTGACTGAACAGTGAGGGGGGAAACGATCCCCTGGCACCTGCCTAGACTGAAGAAAGAAGCTCATGTGCATACCCTTAATGCTGTTCAACAGCCCAGAGGAGAGCACCAACAAGCACCTCCATAACACCACAGTGCTCTTGGACTTGTAGGCAGAGAAAGTAAAAACAATCTCACTGTGTGCTTTTTAAAACAAATGCACCTCCCTGCACAAAGGTCTCATTTGGTGTTGGCAGACAGTTCACTTTATCCTCTAATTTCACATATAGGTCTTTATTTTATGCTGCAAACGTCACTGTGCAAGTGGCATTCCTGAGCCTGGCACGGCTCAGCCCCAGCCTGGCCACTGCAGAGTGCACTGAGCTGCAGATGCTGCTGGTGGTGTGGAGTGCCCAACAGTGCTGGGAGAGAAGGCACAGCTCCTCTCCTGCTGCTGACCTGCCCCTGTCACACCCTAAATCCCCTGGATGTTTGATACTGTGGGAGTTATCCTCATCCTTATCCTTCTTGAGAGTTTTTTTGTTCATATTCAGAACATTGTTGAAAGGGAGTTAAAATCAGAAAAGGGGGAAGAGAAAGTGAGGGGATGAGGAAGAAGGCAGAAACTGCCCAAATCTGCCAGACTTGAAATTGCATATAGCAAATCTGCCAGTGATATTAAAAATGGCAATTATTTATACTCCATCAGAATCACAAGTGTTTCTGCATCAGCACAGAGCCTTCTGAGGAGTAGCTGCAAAAGCAATCTTACTCCTGAGGGAATGATCATAGGATAGCACAGATTTCCATTAAGGATTGCACTGACACATTGAAATTGCAGTGCTGTTCTAAAAAGGAACAAACAAAACCAAAACTAAGCTCTCAAAAGATTTGTGAGGATTGCTGTTGGAATGGGTCACAAGTTGCCATTGGAAGAGTTTTATGCCAGTGGGAAAAAAAGCTGATTTGACAGAAGTGAGTACTTTGGAGGAGCAAGTTCATTCTGTCACAACTTGCAGTGGGATGCAGACAGGCAGAGCAGGACAGGCAAGCAGAGCAGGGTAGCCAGGCAGGGCAGGGCAGGCAAGGCGAGCACAATAGGTAGTTGTGGGGATGGCAGGGTAGGGCAGGGAGGGAAATCCTCTGGATCCCCTGACTCCTTTTTGGCAGTGCACTCAACTGCCTGCCCATCTCTGGCCATCCCAGCTTTGCCTCACTTGCTCACTTTCTTCAAATAGTTCTGCTAAGCCCCAGGTTTCTGAGAGTGCCTTTGTTCTATGAGAACAGTCTTGAAAGGATAGTGGAAAGACAGCTATGCAACAAAGCCAGCTGAACTGAAAAGACTGCAGATGTCTATTTTTATTTTCATTATTTTAAAAACTATCACTTTTTACTCAGTACAATTATTTTCTTTGCCTCAACCTTGTTATTCAGTGATACCTCCCGTGTGCTAGACTGACCAGGACTCTTACAGTTGCCCACCAGCCTGGCCTGCTCTCCTTGTGGTATCACATCCCTCCCCGTACACTGTGTGGGTCTCCCAGGGCCTCTTTTTACCTGCAGTGCAATTGTTACAGTGAAGATAATTATCTGCTTAGCTCTGCCTGTGGTGCATAGCCTGCTGTACTCCCTGCACACCAGGTCAGGGATCTTCCTAAAAGGTCTGGTACAACTTCCCAAGGCAGCTCTGTGGCTGGGGAAGTATTTTGGCCTGTGCAATGCATGAGGGCAGGGGTTAGGTCAGAGCAGATTTTCACAATGGTCCCTTTTGATCTCTCAGATTAGAGAATGGCTTTCATTACACATGTTCAAGAACAGGTTAGACCACCATCTGCCACTTGTGCTATTGGCATAGCTGAACTGGGCTCAGTGCAGATGATCTCTTCCAGGCCTGCATTTCTATGGCAACTTACATGTTTTCATAGTTCTCTGAAGTCTGGTTGATTTACTGGCTTGAACTCCAAGACAAAAGGACATAGGTGTTGTCTGACTTCACAGCTGAGCCTCATGCCCAGAGCTGCAGCAAGTCTGCAAAGGCAGGAATTCACTGGTGGCATCTGTTCTAGTTTTCACTGAAAGTGTTACAGTTTATTACTTTACCTGGACAGCTCTCTACCTGTGCACTCAATGGTTTGTGCACCCAACTTGCCTTGGCCTGCGCTCAGAAGTGAGGGACTTTGGCTGAGGACTTGTGAGGAAGCCAGCCCTACAGGTTTGTTCCCTTATAGAATAAAATCATTGTGCCTTAAATTTATTAAGTTGTTGGGGAAAAAAAAGTCTTTCTTGAGTGTCCTTGATGAAGATCCAGGAGAATAATATTTAAAATGTCATTATTTATATAAAACGGCAACTTTGGCAGTCTTGGCCAAAGACATACAGAAGACACAAAACAAAAAATTATGCAGAGGTTTTAGTTTCTTGAGGAAAAAAGCCTCCTTTGCAAGGCACACCTGCAAGGTGGGGGTGGTCCTCAGTGTGGAGATTGAATGATGTGGAGTTTTGCTATGTCACATAAGGCTACTTGTCTTAATCATTCTGTAGTTTTACTTGCCCAGAGTTACTTGGTGCTAATTATCAGTCCAATGTTCTACCTTGGCTTGGACCATTTCACATAGGTATTGTGACAATGACTATTGCATTACTAATGCTACTAAACTAGAGTCCAATCTTTTTTCATGGCCATTTTCGAAGGCTGTTGGTCTGCTCAGGTAATAGCTTGCTGATCACAGAAGTCCAGTTAGGGCAAGAAAAGGGAGGTGGTTGCATCTCCAGTGCAGGATGAAGCACTGCAGTTTCACAGGGGTTTTCATGTTGAAGAGACAACAGAGGAGCAGGCACATGAAATTACACCACCCCTTTTTCATAAACGCCAACACCAAGCACAAGGTGGATACAGGCACTTAAATATTTTGGCTAAACAACTGCAAAGAATAATTTAAAGCCTATTATCATGGCATACCTTACATCCATTGTAAAGATACAGGACATCAACTATAAAGCACCACTTTGCCATATCAAATTTTGTTTCTGCAGATGAGGCTAAAAGTTGAAAAAAGTGAAAGAAAATTGCAGTTTTAAGAAAATCTGTGGTTTTTGTCTTACTTCTCTCAAGTCTTGTGGTTTGTCAGCCAATCCAAACTACTGCTGGGTACTGGTTTTTGACCACTCCATCCCCCAGTTCCTGGAACCAGTTGAAATGGCCTTTAAATGGCCACATCAAACTTTTGCCTTTCTGTCTGATCCTGGATTGCAATGGGGGACCAAACCCCCCAGTTGGGCTGCATTTTCAGCTTAGGTGACTGCTGCATGTGATAGAATATTTATCTGCAATGGTTGCAGTGAGAGGAAAACACCTCTAGGGCTAATGTAGCCTCATAGCCCAGTAAACAGAGGTTAATTGTCACTCCCAGTAACAGGCCATGGGCTTTCTGCTGACTCTGTAGGGGCTCAGGACCAGGCTTGTCGGGACTGCTTTGCCTGAACTTGCCTCAACCTGCCTCCAGCAGTCCCCTCGTTTGTTCAGCTGTGAAAGCAATTTTTCTAATGACTAGGAAATTCAAGTGTATTTGTAAGATTTGAAGGCCAGTGATGAAAATCAAGATATAAAGTTTGTAGCAAACATAAAATTGCCCCTAAGCAAGCAAAAAATAAAGAAACATAAACAAACAACATCAACATCATGCTAACCCTAGAAATGACCTGGGATGCTGACAGTATTTCCTCACTATCCCCACTGCAGCCACTAACTGTTAGACCCAGAGCAAATGTGAATATACCATCAAAAA